AATTTCTTCATTAGTTAAATTTTTGCAATTTGTATATAATTTAAAAACATTTTTCACATTTTTTAGCATAAGTAGAGATGAAGATGAATTCTTGAAGCTAATCCGATTTATTTCAAGGCATGCAGTGGAACATTACGATTGTTTGGATATTTTTACTAAATGTTCAAAATTTGCGATATTCAGATTTTTTTACTAAAAGTTCAAATTAAAATTTGAAATTGTTCAGATTTTTTTACGTCGTTTGAAGCGCGCCTACGTTAAGCATGTTGTGAATATGCTTGACACTCATAGGAAGTGGGAATTGACATTACGATTAGGGACAAGGAAAGTAGGGAGCCTCCAACAAGTTTTTTAGGAACTTTTAAACCGTTCACAGATCATAAAAGGCAACCACGAATAAGGGATAACCAAAGACAACAACGATAGACCCGTGAAGGTTACACCCCATTCATAATCCATTAGATTACTAACTCCATATGGTTCGAAACCACGAAAGGAGGATCAGGGATGATGATACGAAGTGAGTCATGGAGTCACATTCGCCCGTACTGGCCTCTATTCGATTCTTATTGTAAAAAGTGATTCATGCGATCTCAAAGGCATGCAAACAAAGATCCAATTTGCTCCAAACTATAATTATGCTAAAGTGGTTGAATATTAATGCAACATATAATTCTAAAATATTTGTAATCACTTGATTAAACAACAAGATTAAAAAGGAACCTAAACCGGTCGTCCAAATTATCTTATTAGGCGTGATTTTCAATTACATATTCCCTTTTAAACATGCAATATGGTGATAAATAACTAATAATATAATAAACATTAATATTGGAAGCAATTTAACAATAATAGCGTTAGTCAAATCAAATATAAATAAACCTAACCATGATACTAGCAATATTAAAATAAAAATAAGAGTAATTAAGTGATTAATTACTCACTTTCCGCGTTTCCTTGAATTGCTACATCATGAATAAACTGTTAGTAACTTCAATAAAAATATAAATCAAATGAAAATAATTAAAAAAAGATAAAAAGTAGAGTTGATTTGGTCTAACCCTCAGTCAATTATACCTTTCACGCTAACTCCTTGGAGTGCTTAAGGAAGGAATGAAAGAATAGGGAGGCTAGTGTTCAGGCTAAAGAGGGAGAAGAGAATTATTTTGTGATCAAGATTGTTGATGATTGAAAAGGGGAGATATGACCTCTATTTATAAGCAAAAATAAAGGTCGAAGAATTAAGAAAAGATAAGAATTTGAATTGGAATAATACTCTTGCGAAAGACAGCAGTTTTTGCGGTTTTTGTTTTTATCATATCTTTTGATCCAGAAATCGTAATAAGATAAATAAGATATAGTTGGAAAGCTCTTGAAGTATAATTTCTAACCCAATTAGAATCAGATTAAAATAATTTGTAGAATAAAAGATATGGACAAAATGGTGGGACGGTGTCAGTTTTGGATAAAGTTTGATATTTCATTCATATCTTTTCCGTTATAGCTCAGAATGGCTATTATAGTACATAATTGGAAAGATAATTTCAAGGGCTATCCAACCATCTAAGATTTGGATAAAAAATATGCGGCACGAAAATAATATCTGTCTATCTTTGAAAGTCTTTCAATTCGAATAGAATTAGGACTTTTAAACAGAAAAGTTTTATTCAATTTCAAACTTTTTAATCTTATCTTTTCATAAAGGATAATTAAGATCTTTTAGAAACTTATAGAAGATTATAATTAATCCTAATTGGTTTAGAAATGGGATTTAATAATTTGGACCCTCTACATGATTATTGGGTCGTAGGTAAGGTGGGCTTAGGTTTGATTTGGGCTCAATTTAGTATTTTGGCAATAACTTATTCGTTATAACTCGGATTTGGGCTTATAATATATCATTGGAAAACTCTTTTCAATCCCCATCCAACTATTTAATAATTGGACCCAGATTATGGACCAAAATAAATTGGACTAAATATTTTTATATAAAGGGCACGAAATGAATGATTTAAAGGACACGAAATGAGTTATTTTGGGTTTAATGGCACGAAAAGAGGAAAATAAGTTATGGTTTGGGGAAATGGGCTAGGAATTGGGTTGGCTTATGAAATGGAAATATGGATTTAAGCACTCCAAGATTAAATATTCAACCCGACCAATAATGGCGGTGAAAGGTTGTTCATCATCGGGTTTGGTTTTGGGGAGACATTTTTAGGTGTTTACAGTATATAATTTAAAAATATTTTTCACATTTTTTAGCACAAGTATTGTTGAATCTAATCCGATTGATTTCAAGGCATGCAGTGGAACATTGCGATTGTTCGACTAAATGTTCAAAATTTGTGATATTCAGATTTTTTTCCTAAAAGTTCAAATTAAAATTTGAAATTGATCAGATTTTTTTTACTAAATGTTTAAAAGTAAAGGCGTGATATATTGTGATTGTTCATATATTTTTAATAAATATTCAAAATTTTTGATGTTCAGTTCGATTTTTTTTACTAAATGTTCAAAATTTGCAATCGTTCAGATTTTTTCGCCAAATGTTCAAAAGTATAGGCGTGTTACATTGCAATTTTTTTTAGATATTTTTACTAAATGTTCAAAACTTTCGATGTTCAGTTCGGATTATTTTTTACCAAATGTTCAAAATTTGCAATCGTTCAGATTTTTTTAATAAATGTTCAAAAGTATAGGTGTGGTACAATGCGATTGTTCAGATACTTTTACTAAATGTTCAAAATTTGCAACCGTTCAGATTTTTTTTATTAAATGTTCAAAAGTATAGGCGTGGTACCTTGCGATTGTTCATATACTTTTACTAAATGTTCAAAAATTTTAATGTTCAATTCATATTTTTTTTACTAAATGTTCAAAATTTGCATTCAGATTTTTTTTTACTAAATGTTCAAAAGTATAGGCGTGGTACATTACGATTATTCAAATATTTTTACGAAATGTTCAAAATTTTCAATGTTCAGTTCAGATTTTTTTTTTTTACTAAATGTTAAAAATTTGCAATCGTTCAGTATTTTTTACTAAATGTTCAAACGTATAGACGTGGTACATTGCGATTGTTCAAATATTTTTACTAAATGATCAAAATTTTCGATGTTCAGTTCGGATTTTTTTACTAAATGTTCAAAATTTGCAATTGTTCAGATTTTTTTATTAAATGTTCAAAATTTGCAATGTCCAATTTTATTTTTTTTATTTTTATTTTTTAATTTTTTTTACTAAATTAATCGATCAAATTAATGACATCAATAAAAAAAATATCAATTAATCGATCATAATGGATTACGATTGAAATCGATTAGATTAGTTGCAACAAATTCAATTGATATTAAACAATAATTTCATCCACAAAAATGCATTGTAAAATCAAAAAATTAATTAATATTGATCACAATGAATTTATAATAACTAACCCAAATTGATCTCTTCAGGAATATCGACAATTTCCATCACGTTAAATGCAAAAAATCGATGGAGAAAATTAATGGAAAAAAAATCAAAGAATAGAGGAGAGAGAAAATAAGAATTTGAAAAAAAAAGAATGAATTAAAATCGAGAAAGAAATAAAAAGAGATCAGATTTTTTTTTAAAATAAAAAGAGAGAGAGATTATGTATAGAAGGAACAATAAATTAACAAAAAAAAAAGGAAGAAGAAGAATATGTAAAGATGGAGGCAGACCTAGGCAATCAACCTGATTGACAAAATTTTGTTAATCATCGAATTTGTGGGCCACCTATTGCAAGAAAAATATTTTAATAATGCATAGTACGAACACAAACATTAACAAACTAACGGCCTGAGACGTTTTACACGGAGCTAAGTAACATTGTCTATCCGAATTTTATTCTGAAAAAAAATAGAAATTGGAAGAAGAGCTTTATTCTGGTTTTTCATCAGAATCTTCAATTGAACACAACACTGCGCGAGAGTGGTAGAGAAGCGTATTCCAAAGAAGAGTAGACGCCTTTACGAGATCAAACTCTGTCGCCATTTTTATGGTTGTGTGCTATTGACACTATTTTTCGTTGTTAATGTTAGTAGATCTAATTTGATAATAATTAATGTTAGTAGATCTTATTATAATTAATGTTAGTAGAGCTGATAATTTGTATTTAAGATTTTTGTCTATGTGGCTGAATTATTTTTTTTATTTTTTTTTAATTGTGTTGGACAAAAGTTATATTACGTGGGTAGCAAAGGGTGCAATTGAATTGATTCCATGTTTGACAAAACCTAATTCGACTTTTACGAATCCTCGCCGGCTGAATAATTGAATTTCGAGTTTGACAAAACCTAGTTCGACTCTTACGAATCCTCGCCGGCAAAATATAAGTTCGACGTTTATGAATTCTTCTGCTAAATTGTATTCCTAGTGCAGTAAATATTGGGAAATTTCTGGAGATGATTCTCAATTGCGCCATAAGTTCGAATTGGGATTTGAAAAGGGAAAGTGGTTCACCCTTGTCAAACGGAAGTTACAATATTGACTAAACCCACGTTAATCAATATTTTTCCATGTCATTCAGCCGTTTGAGGGACATCTGGCTGTAGTTACGAAATTACCCCTACTAAATCAATGAAAGGACCAAAAGAGGCCCTGAGTGTGATTTTGTCAATCTAGCTGATCGACTTATATTTTCTCGTAAAGATGCACGAAGAAGAATGAGTAGAGTAGAGTTGTGTTGTATTTTATTTGTATAGAGGTATGTTTTAGGAGATGGTCTATCTAAAAGATGGACCAGGGTTCACACAAGAATTTGTACCTAAGACCAATTGCTCGATCCAAACCTATTAGGTCTAAATTTTAAGGACCCAGAGCTTAAAATATGGGTCTGATCTAATCGGATCTGGGTCGGATCTAGGACCCATTGCTATCCATACTAGTGAGAGCCATCATCTAGTCCGATTCCACGTAGAAATGTCAAAACTACACCAACCAAACACGATTGTCCGGGTCTAATTTTGTACTTACTTAGACTACAGAACGGTACTGTACTAATATCGAGCACCGGGTTGGATGGTAAACATGCTGACAAACACACTCTCGTAAAGTCGAAAGTAATCAGTTTACAGACCCCGCCTTTATCGATGTCGTTTCCCGGCCGATTCAATTTTTGAATTTGCTTTGGCCATAACCTTAATTGTTTCATCTCTCCCAAATATCATCTTCTTCATCACTCCATATTCGATAATTTCTTAAACCCTAAGTTTCAGTGTTGATATCTGTCACTTCTCTCGAAATTCTGTAATAACTCCAGAAACTTTGGAGTTCATCAATGGCGAATTCCGATGTTACTTCCTCCAACGAGTCCCTGGTGATTTTTCTCTCTTCGAAATTTGGGGTTTTCTATATGTATTTTGGATTACTTTCTGAATGAATGAGTCAAAAACCCTAATTTGTGTAAAAAAATTTGATTCCATCTTTTATTGTTTTGCAGAAGAAAGAGAATTCGGCGCTAACACAGTCTGCTAAACTTGCGGTATGACAATCTTTGCAATTCTTGCTCATTTCCTATCGAAATTGCAAATTCTGATGTTCAATTCGTAGTACTTAATTTTCTGACCATTTTCCCCTTCACTAATTTGTTGTTTTTGGAGTTAGGAACTAAGTGAATCGAGGACAGAGTTGTTGAGTAGGATTCAGGGCTTAAAGCAGGTGAATATCTTTCTTGATTTGCATGTTTTCTGGGATTGATTGATGTGTTTGTGATTTGCTTTCCTGTTTATGATTTTTTGCGTGCAGGATTTGCAAAATTGGAGGTCCAAATTAGATAATCAAGTTCAGAGCCATCGGAATGTAAGTTTCAATCTGCATTTTTCTGTTAAAATTAACAAAATGGTTAGGTAAAAATTACGGAGTACTTTAAACTACTCTCTCCGTCCCAAATTGTTTGCACAATTTGCTTTTGCGTGGTCTCCAAAATAATTTTATGTTCAAGTAAAAATCATAGGAAGTTGATTATATGACAATATAAACTAATCTATTGGGATCTCACCATGTTCTATTTTATAAATCAATAGGAATTATTCCTGCGTATGAGAACATAGTAATAGAGAAGGTAATAGCCGAAATAGGATTCGTTTTGGCTAGAGCGCCCAAATCCGCTATATATTTGACACGTGTTTGCCGTAATGCTGAAACTATAGCGAATGCATCTATCGTCATTGATGCACTGACTCCGGATTTCTTGATCTTCGAGGCGAGGCATATTCATATGTCGAAGAAGGACCATTTCCGCTCATAGAACCTGGAAAAAGAAAATATATACCGTCGTTTAAGGACCAAGGACGCGATGTGAGAAGCGTAGGTCGGAGTAGCAGGAGTATGCGACAAGCAGTTGCATGCATGTTCGGTGTGGGAGATCTTCTGTAACGAGATGAATTCTCTGCCCACTCTCCGTTCACACGGTTCTCAAAGCGGAGGAGGAAGGGTGAGCAGGAGGTACCACGAGCCCTCTGCCCGATGGAATTTTCTTGGTGAAGCACCTAGCTGGTCCAAGTTGAGGAACTTAGGCTTTTATGATTCTCAAATTCCATGATTGATTTTGTGCTGTTTTTTTTATTTTTTTATTTATTTATTTTTTTTTTCTATGTCTACTTTTACTGTCATATACTTTGTACATTTAACTCTTATGTTTTACCATTTGTATTTAAATGTTATTCTTTGTAAGAGTGACATGTACTTCACTCCTTCCTGTACTTTTGAGCGTGGTATTATAGTGAATGAACTTCTTTTTAAAGAACTTTGGGATTTTAGTTTGTCTAATTTTAGTACACTCCAAAGGACTCAATCAGGAGCTTCTCTCAAAAGATTAAGTAATAACTTAGACCTAGTTAAAGAAATGTAGGGGTGAAATGGAGTAGTTGGTGTGAGAAGGTAGGGGCTATGTGTTTTAGTGTTGGTGGCTCGTGGCTGCAAAGGGGTGCTGTGCTTTGTGGGTTGGTGCTGGGAGCTAGGAGATGGGATTTTAGGGTGTGGCTGATTGGGAAAGATAGGTGAGACTGGTGGGTCTGTTTGCGTGCTGGGTTGGGCTGGTGTGGGATGTGCAGCTTAGGCTATTGTGTTGTGTGCTGCAGTGTTTGAAAGACAGTTGGGGCATGAGTTGGTGAGTGTTGTGGCTGTTGCTTCTTGTGGCAGTGTGGGAAGGATACACAATAGAGCTGGGTATTGTTGTAAGGGAATAGGCTTGGTTATTGTTGTGTGTGGAATGAAGACAATAGAGATGGGTATTGTTTTGTGGTGCACTGGCTGGTGTGTTGCCTTTTTTTGGGTGTGGTGTGTGCAGTTTCGGTGAGGATTGTGAAGTAAGACGGTTAGTACAGCAAGGTGTTACGGGACAGCTGGTGGCAAGGATCGTAGGGTGATGGTTTATGATGGGTATGGTGTGGGTATCGTCATTCTTGGCATGGATTAAAGCTTATTTGACCCTTGACCTTAGACTCCGTGATGTAGATTTGAATTTGAAGTTGAAAGAAATCCAAGGAAGAATCTTTGTGTATTGACTATTAAATGAGGAAATTAATGAAATTTGTAATAAAATATTGAATGGGTAAACACTAAATCTCACAAAGCAAGAGGGTCCTTTCTAATTGTAATCAGAAAATGATCAATTGTCACAGAATGTGATGTTCTTGGTTAACAACCAATAAAGCATTGCTCAAGGATTTAATCCAAATAAAACACATTTTTTGAATTACTGCAGATGCCGATTGAAATCTATTGCATTACTTAGACTTAGCCACAATTGCTGTGTACCAAGCGAATTATATTTAATTGAAATCAATTGCATTACTGAGACTTTGCCACCTTTGTAAGAAGTGAGTTAGGATAAGCAAAAGGATTTCAGAACCTATTCTCTAGCTTGAGAACATTCTTTAGCCTGAGAATATCCAATATAACCGGTATTAACTGAAATCTTCATAACTGATTCTATAGGCATTCTCAGACTTCTCATTTACAACTCTTGCTGATTAATGCTTTTATCACCCTAATGATGTTTCAGGCAGTACTAAGAGTATATGCTATATAATTATCAGGCTATATGTTATATAATTATCAGACTATAACAAGCTCAATAATGTCTATGTTATATCATTATCAGGCAATAAGAGTCAAGGATTTCACACACCCAGTGCATTTTCCCAGTTCATGTAAATGCTTCATGTAAACTAGTTTTAAATTTACCTCTGCATCACTAGTTAGGCAACTAATTTTTAATTAGTCTCGGTGATGAAGCACTTGTATACTTCCCAAGGCATTAAGTGTGTGCTTTTCTTTGGAGGCTTGATTGTACATTAGAAGAAACATAGATAAATCTTATATTGACAAGTGATTTAACAATAAAACCTAGATTGAATTGTGAAGTATTTCATTGATTAGTTTTAAAGAAATAAAAACATGTTACCTCAAGAGTTGTTATCAAGGAAGGAAAGAAAATTAGAAGCTGCTCCAATGGAGAAACCAAAAAGCACAGAACGAGGTAGAAGCAGAAAGCAGTTAAACTACTATTACCTGCAATTACAAATGTAATTATCCATTATTCACAAAACAACAAAGATTCCACCAGCAGCTTATACTATAACTTAAAGAGCAAAATCAATTGAACACTCTGGCAATGAAAGCCAAAGGCTCCTTTTTTGTGAATACTAACTTGGAGCTAATAAATAACCAACTGAATTGTACTTAATGTTTTTCTTGCATATGGAAAACTATATTTCTTGAGCTTTAAGTTATATTGGACTCTTATGGTTTTTTAAATTGAAGCTAATTGAGGATAATGAACAAGCTAAAGTGCACTTACTTTACAATATTTTCATTTTTAGTTACACTCAATGCAAGCTATTTTGAAGTAAGGCTAATGAGAACTTGAAATGCTAATATGTTTTATAAAAGATTGTCATGTCTTAGCCTTTGCTCATTTGCTAAAGATGTACTTTGTATCTAGTCATTAGTAATCAGTTCATTGAGCAATACATTTTGGTTTGTTAATTACATTAACTTTTTTTTTTTCCCACTCCTAGTGATTATAAAAAAATGCTTCTGGGAATAGAATCAAGAGAAATAAGTGTCTAATAGCCTTAGGAGGGAACAATGCCTTTGTCTGAAAGATGGCTTAACAACTACATTCACCCACCCGCTTTCACTTACTAAGAAAGTAAGCGCTGGAGTCTCCATAACTTGTTTTCGGTGGTTAATGAAAGTTGATTGATCTTCAAATCCTTCTCGATTGTATTTTAATCATTAATTAACAAATAAGGCGCATTAAGATTGCCCAATTTGACAGAGTCATTTGGCACCTTGTTGTCGACATGGGGTTAAAGAAGGTACAACTTCAACTTCACAAAACCAGGATTAGAGCTAGGAATTACAATTTCAACTATTCAGGGATCCTTTAACTTAGCACTTGACTACTCATGTTTATTGAAATTGAGGATTTCATTAATAAAACAAAGAAAAGGCTTTTGCCTCACCCTCAAATCTAACTTTAGCAAATAGCTATGTTCTAGGCCAAAACTAAATGAGATTAAAAACTTAGTAACTCATTCTCCTCTTTGAAACTCAAATATTGAGTGAAAGAACCACCAACAATAGGTGTTACAAATAATGAAACAGTTTAGTTTTAATTTTCCTTCATGAAGATCCTTAGGGAGTCAAGATTTACTTCATCAATCCTTACATTCAATTATGGTATTTCTTCTACTAAGTAGCTATGAACAACTAATTTATTTGATTCTTTTGCTTATATTGTCTCAACTCATGCCGAAGTAAAACCATGTAAAGTTCAAAGGGCAAATAATATATATAATCCTCTTTACTATAAGCACAAATCCATTCCATCATCTTGTAAGTTTTAGTAAGTTTATTTTTCTATGAATCTTATAAAAAACATTATCATACCATCTACAACTCTTGTCAAAATTTGTTGTTGCTGCCCTTGTTGTAGGTTTGTTTCTTTTAAAAATTTCATGAAAATCAACAGGATGAAACTATAATGTTTTAGGATCCAACGCAAAAAGAATCATTGAAAAATATTAAGTAGAAAACTATAATCATAAATTTTTTTAGCTCTAATAAAGGATATTTCAGATTTGCTAAAGATTTGTGTCAAATTTGTATAGAGAACATCACTCCAAGAAATTTAATGAAATTAGGGCGGGTAATGCGCGCAATGTATGCGCCATAACTATCTATGTTAGAGAAGTTCTTTTGGTTTGGCCTTTTGTCACAAATATAGTTGTTGGTAGTATTAATAAAGGAAATATGTAAATAAATATTGTTTGGGGTATAAATGTACTTATACTAATTTGAAGAAGTAAAAGAAAGAGATAATTAACACTTATTAGGGAAAATAAGTAAATAAACAATTTAGAAGGTATAATTGTCAAAACACAATTCATAAAAGTTATTCCAAAATGTAAAAGGTTTGGAAAAAAGACAATCACCATTAATGAGGAAATTAAGTGAACAAATATTTTAGAGGTTATAATTGGTCAACACTATTTATAAGAGTTATCTCAAACTTTATCAAGGTAGGGAAATCACTTCGCCTAGTAGGGATGTGAATGAGATAGGGTGGGGTGGATATCGGCCTTCTCATCCTATCCCAACCTAACATTCTGATCCCCGCGGCGGTCTTAAATCTATCCCTATTCTACGCGGTAGGTACAAATCCAAAGCCCTCCCCACCATACCCCCTTACCAAGATAACATACTTACCTAATCTCCACCATCTCCACCCCACCATCCACCTAATCTCCGCCCCGTCCAAGACCTGCCTAATCCGCGCTTCAAAAATACAATCTGTACTAGATACTATAATTTACGAACAAAAATTCACTTAATATGTTTGTATCACATAATTGTTTTTTCTTTATTGTATTACAAGTCTATTACAAAGTATTATATTTACTATTTTATTTTACTTAAATTTGGTTTTGTTTTTTTGTTTTTGTTTTTGTAATAAGTGTAAAAGTACCTATTTTTTTAAATTTATGTATGTGGGTATGGGGTGGGACGAGGATTGGGCAAGTACAATTCATTATCTGTCCCCCACCCATTGGCGGGCATGAGTTTTACCCCCATTCATTTCCCACCACCTTGCAAATCAGGACCCATAATCGGGCAGGGAGGGACGGGTCTCTTACTTGACTCGATCCACTTACACCCCTTACATCAGTCATCAACGCCTAGGCATGCCTTTATATGCATTGTGAGTATTATGTACTTCTTAACTCCATGACTAAGTGATTGTTGAGGTTAATAACCTCCTTTGTTTGGTTTAAAGTAGCAGTGAGAGTAGTTTTGAAGATGTCTATTTGGAGTTTTGTCAGATTTAGCTTTATGCGGATCTCGCAAATGCCACTGAATGTATTTTCACAAGTCTGGATGTGGTGAGATTTAAAAGCTTGCTGAAATAAAGTTAGTTTGTTCAAAAGTATCAAAACTATCAAATAAACGTGAAGTTTCACAAATATTGCATCTATTACCATTTTAGGAAGTATCACAAATATTGCAACATTTCCCTATTTGCAAATGTTTTCTCACTTTTCTCTCTTTTCATCACATGAGTCTAAATCTTTATTCCTCTCTATCTCTCTTCTCTTCTTAATATCCGTTTCTCATCTCAATGTTGCAATATTTGGGTAACGGAGGAAGCATAAAAAAGGGAAAGGCAAGAATCAATCAAATATGGTGGAAAAATTATGATAATTTGGGAGGGTAAATCACCTGGGGAAGATAGAAAACACATAAGGGAAGGGAGTGGAAAGGGAGAGTTGGTGTATATTACAAAAAATAAAAATAATTATAGAACCAGAGCCTGCCTATATTTTCTCCTGAATAGCCCACATTTTAAAGTTTGTTTCAAATCAATTTAGGTAACAATTAAATTATAATTCCTTTGAGGAAAATTGAACAAGAATAGTCCAACCTTTTCTCCATTCTCCCAAAATAATCCAACATTTCAATTAACCCTGAATAATTCTAAGTTTACAATTTATTTTCTTATAACGAGCTTATTTGAACTTCATATAACTTTTTCCTTTTTTTTTTTTTTTTTTTTTTTTTTTTTTTTTTTTCCCCCCTTAATTTTTCCCTCCCTTCTTTCTTCCCTCTCCAACTCCGTTTGTAAACTTCAGCCATCATCACCACCACCTGAACTTCAACTACCACCACTTACCCCACCCCAACCAAACCTGAAATAACCCTTCCCCTCCTACCTAGACTCGAAACCACCCAACCCCACCTAGCCGAAACCACCAGCCCCACCCTATCCGAATCCCGAAACTACCAGCCCCACATACCCAGACCCCGCAACCCCATCCTCACCTCCCTGAACCTTCCTGCCACCCTCTCCCCTTCCTCATCAAGCTCCACTTACTACCTCCCTATTGAACCTCATTTAATTTCCTTTACGTCTCTTTCTCTGCATTGAATTTGGGCCAAATTGGGGCATATGTCTTCATTTATATGGGGCTGGAAAAGCGGGGGTTGGGTTTTTTTTTTTTTTTCTTTTTTCTTTTTTTTTTTTTTCGTGGGTGGTTAGTTGGTGTTGCGGATGATAGTTGCTTATGGTGTTGATTGTGGCACTGTCGTAGGTTGTGGGTGTTGTTTGCGTTGTTCATGGATGTTGTGGTCATGTTAAGAGTGTTGAGGTGGTTTTGGTGATGGTCGTGGATGGTGTGGTGTGTGGTGTTGGGGTGATAATGGAGGAAGGGAGAGGAGAGAGAAACAGGCAGGAAGGGGATGGAGAGAGATTTTTTTTTAATTTTTTTTTATATTTTAATTTTCAGAATTAAAAATAAATTTTTTATAATATAAAATTAAAAAGTTGGCCAATTAGGAAGTGCCATGTGGATGGTAACCGTTTATAAGGGGTATGGTGACCTAGTAGGGTTGCTAGGAGAAAATAAATAGATAACTTAGGATTTTTTAGGGTTACTCGAAAGGTTGGATCTTTTTGGGAGAATGAAGCAAAGGTTGGATTATTTTTGTTAATTTTTCCTTCCTTTACATCTTCCTCATTTTAACCTGTTTTTTTTCTCATAGCTTACTACTTATTTTGTTATTATATTTTTCATTGGGTCAGGTTGTTACAGTCCAATTGCACTGTGTGTGGGAGAACATTTATAGCGTAATAAACCATGGTTTTTCAATTTTCCCAATAAATTTGTTCTTTCTGTTTATGTTTGCGCTATAATTTCCGTAGTCAGGCATGACACTCCTCAAATTTTGGTTATGAAGCTTTTTAGCATGAGCTCAGCCCGCTGGTTTACTTTTTGCAAGTGCCATCTTGAAGGAAATAACCACAACAGCCTTGTGCCATACAATCATGTATTGATATGCTCAGTAGGAAGGGTGGTTGGCTGCTTACTTGAGGATACACACTCAGGGAGCTTATATGAACGAGGATCATTTTGATATTTGGATCAAATGGTTTTTATCATATATCTATGAGACCATTATTTTTTTGCATTAGTTAATGTTTCCTTCCTGCTGTGTTTTGCATACTCTCTTAAGTATGCAGTGAACGCTTAAATGTTTTATTAAACTTTTCAGATTAGCTGAATAAGTCCCTCTTTCTTGGAGTGTGAAAAACTTGGTCTTGGTGTCATTAATGATGCGAAGTATTGAATATTGAAACTTGTATATCCTGCAGCTCTTGAAGAAATTATTTGTGTAGCAGAATTGTGCTGCAATTATAATGCTTCCAATCTGTCAGCATTCACTATGATTGGAATTGCAATATTTAACTGGTTATCTTTGTAAAGGCAAAAGTATTTATGCTTCTATGAAAAATATTCCTTTTCGACTTGCAATAGAACTGTTCAAATTTTTTACAATTGTTCACTTTTTTTTTTCTCTAATGGGCTTTCTTTTAGATTTCTCCGAGTAATCATGCTATTGTAGCTGAATTTGTTTTGTATTCCTTTTTGGAAGTTTGTTATTACAATTCTATGCATATTTTAAACTTTGTTTTCAGGAGTTGGTAGAACTCAGGAAGTCTCTGATTGTTGAAGTAGATCAACTTCGATCAGTAAGTTTTTCTTCAGGTTCCTTTTTTTTTTTCTTGTCCTTTAATTATTCATCATCATTGTGATGACTCAATATCCATTCGTTTAGGAATTTCAAGATCTTAGAACAACGCTGCAGCAACAGCAGGAGGATGTGACTGCAAGTTTGAAAATTTTGGGGGTATGTAGTGTCCAAAATTTTTACTGTTCGAACAAAGCTATCTAAATATTTCTTTCCAATTTCTACATGACAGATATTGCTGTCTGAAACTAGACTTTATTATTGTTTAAGATGATCATGTGGGTATTATGCAGCTGCAGGATACATCTAAGGATGCTGGAATTTTTGCACCCAATCCCATGGATGCTGGAACCACTATGGGTCATGAAGTTAATGATGAAGGCAGTACTGCTGAAATTAATGAATCTGGAAGTTCAAAGGACGAAATCATTGCAGAAGAGTCTACAGGAAATGGAAGTGGTACTGATCATCTTTCCTCATCAGGGATTGGAGTGGACATTGAGCATTAAGTCAATTAACTTTCGAGAATTTGGAAAAAATTTAAATGAACTCTGAAGGTGATATTAGTATTCTTCATAGTATGTGTTCTACGTTTTTCTGTCATGGTGACACTTTGTTGCCATGCTATATCAGTACTTAGTAGCGATGCCATATCATTACTCAATAGCATATGAAAGTTAACAGATCCCATCCCAAGATTTGTAGCCTTTGTGACTTCATTGAGACTAGCTTGTAGCTTTATGGTGTGACTCTTGGTATTGTGGTATCATTTTTTTTTTTTTTGAATGAAACCAAGGTAAAGTGCCATATATTAATTAGTCAATTTGTGGTATAATCCTTTAATACTACTTATAATAGGCTTTTGGCGTTTACACGATTCAACTTTAATTATAAATATTGGTCTTGTTTGTTTAAGGAACTGGAACAAATGATGCATTGCAAACAAATCCTAAGCTAAGGGTCTCCATGTTTTTAGGGCTCTAGAATATTGAAGCCTAAATGATTTTGTTTCCTTACCCTATTAAAAGTTTAACCACAAACTTATAAATTGTGTTATGCCAACTATATCATTTAAAATGTTTATTTACATATAGTGGCAGATTTAGAATTTCCACTCAGAGGTAGCGTAATAGCGCATAGTTGTTTAAAAATATTTAGAACTAAATTAAAATTGAACTTTATTGTGATTTTTTGATGCAATGCAATATGTAAGTACATTGTTATGCTCCTTGTTATTTGACAATTTGATTTGACATGAATTCGTTAAACAAACGATTGTTGTAGGGAACGCAACTCGTACAATTGACAGAGAACTTATTCAAAAATTAAACAATACTAAGATATATTATACATATCAAAATAATTACAATAAAATAAACTATATAATAGTATGCAGTATCAAATTATTTTATTTTATTTTAACTAATACTAGCATTTTGTACTCCAATTCATATCTAAATTATCCAATATGGTTCATAAAATACTCCATACTCCGTAAATAATTTGTAAATTCGAAAAAAAAAATCTTTATTATTAAGAGTAATGAAGAAATTTCAATTACTTTTTATCATGTTAATGCTTTTCTTATACCTTGTACGTAGTATAAAAATAAAGTGTAGAGGGAAATTTGATTTGGAACAAAGGGCAAGGGGTTAAAATACTTAAAAAGAAAAAATTCAATGAAAAAGAAAATGTTGGAATTGAACCTACTGGCCGCACAACACAAAGCTTCACAAATTCCCCTTTTATTACTGAAGCAAAGCTTAACATATAGGTTTTTTATGCAGTTTTAAATTTTTATCTCAAAATTCAGGGTAGCATGTGCTACCCCTTGTGACTATGTAGATACGTCATTGTTTACATGTGTGACATTTTTTTCCCTTTGTTTTTACTGGTGTAGCTTCTAGGGTTTTTTTTATTTTTATTTTTTTCTCTCTTTTCTTTAGTTTTACTTGTTATTTCTCTATTTTGTGTTTTCTTTAGTTGTTTTTCCATTTTCTTACTTTTCTTAGTATATTTTGCATTCTCTTTGATTTCAGGAGATTGGTGATGTTCAAGGAGCTCAATGGCTTTTTCTCGGGGTTTATAAAGCTTAAGATGCAAGCAGGTCTCTCCCATTGAAGCTCAACTGCTAAGGAGTGCAAATTCCATGTCTTTTAAGCCGCACTCTCATGCTGCGTGGGCATCAAAAATGGTGTTGAACCCACCGTACGTGGAGGCCTTTGGAAACTGCCACCCCCAACATGTATCAAGTGGAGCGCACGGGAGCATCAACGGATACACGAGGAAGCTTTCCCCTACTCCTAGGCGCGGGCGCGCACGACAATGGCGCAGGCGCACAAGGCCTGTGCACTGCCGCGAGATAGGAGGTGCGGCCGCGTAGCTGCTCTCCCCTTGGGAAAACTTTTGTATACACCCGGTTTTCAGTAATTTACTGAACATCGGGTACACTTTTGTCAGATTTAGTGTCACTTTTGTCAAATTTAGTCACTTTTGTCAAATTTATCAATGAAGCATAAATAAATTTTATATATGTCAGGATAACTTTTGTGCGTTTTAGTGTAACTTTTGCACATTTTATTGTCACTTTATAACGGATGTTCAGTAATTTACTAAACATCCGTTTTATTTAAAAGTTTGTCCTCCCCTTGTTCCATACCCACTTCTTTGCGGCCGCGCATTTAGAGGAGAGAGCGCACCTATTGAGGTTCTTTTTGGATGTCTAACTAACTTCTCCTTTGTTAGTTTAACTATATATAGAATTTCTTCATTTTTAGAATGAAGGAGAGGGAATTAGAATAGACTAGAATTTGTAATATATTGAATTTTTAGAGAGAGAAGCTCAAGATTTTGGGAAATTTTGTGCTTAGATTTTAGAATAGACTAGGTCCTTTGGTAATTGATGATTGCTACATTTTGATCTTTATTCACTTTGATATTGATCAAAGTTTGTAAGAATTCTTTCCTTTTTAATGCATTTTTAGTGTTTGATTCTTGATATATTTGTTGAATTTCTATAGTTTGTTTGATTTGATTGTTGATATTTTTATTGCAATGTTGATGATGAAATTGATGATTAGTTTAGTAATCCTTTTCAATTTTATAATGTGTAGTAAGTAGTTCCTTTATTAGAGAATTGGTGAAGCATGTATGAATGATAAGCTATAGCTAATTTGGGGGTTTTTGATTGATTGGATGATGTGATTAAATTTGTTGATGGAATTTGTGCATGTGTTTGATTCAAATCAATTTAGGTAACAATTAAATTGATTGATGGAATTTGTGCATGTGTTTGATTATCAAGCTAGATTGCATATTAGTTTTCAATGATACGAAAAATTGATTTGGAAGCTATTATTATCGATTGATCTTGTTTTGTGATTTTCTTTGAAGTCATTCGTAGAGACATCTAGCTTGACCCTAGGAAATAGCTCTTTAAATTAGTGATTTTGATTCCAAATACCGTTTTCCCTCGCATTGCTTGATTGATCAATTTCCCGACAAATTAGCAAGTTTATCGTGAGTGCATGTGGATCCTAAATCCCTAGTGCTTTGATAATGATTCTATTGTAAGCTTTGGTTGTATTGATTTGCTAGTTTAGACCAACCCAATTACTTAAGATTTCAGAATAGTTTAACTAGAGACTTTAGCTTAACCTCATTCCCTTGGATTCGACCCGGACTTACCCATATACTTAGGGTTGGGTTTGGTTATAAATTTGGTTTTTATCGGGGGATACTTAGAAATCAACGACCTAGGTTTTCCTCCCTTCAACCACAAATACTCAAGTGGTGCAGAATATAGAAACCAACAAGATTCTAGTCATGTTCAGGTGGAGCATCCCGGTGTTTCTCAAGATGAGGAGAGGATGATCTGGATCATGAGGAGATTCAGCAGGAAAATGCGCATGTACTACAACAGTAGCAGCAGGATTCTTTGGCATCCACTAAGCCAAAGAGAAATTATAAATTAGTTCAGAAGTTTGGGTCAAACAAACCTCTGAGGCATTACGGACAGGTAAACTTGGTAGAATATGCACTCTCGGTGGAGGATGATGAGCCGTTCACCTTCAAACAAGCTATCAAAGACAAGAATAGCGAGATTTAGTTGGTTACTATGGAAGAAGATATACAATCTCTTCATAAAAACAAGATATAAGAGGTAGTCCCATTTCCTGTGGGAAAGACTGTTATTAGTTGTAAGTGGGTGAATAAAAGAAAAGAGGATCCTTCCAAGTTAGATAAAATTTGGTATAGGGCTAGGTTAGTGGCCAAGGGATTTGCACAGAAAGAAAGTATTGATTACAATGAGATTTTTTCACCAGTGGTAAAACATACTTCTATTCGGGTGTTGTTGAGTCTTGTAACTCATGGAGATCTTGAGCTGGAATAACTCGATGTGAAGACAACCTTCTTACCCGGTGACTTGGATGAGGAAATATATATGTATAAACTTGAGAGATTTAAAGTTGAGGGTAAAGAGAATTAGGTATGTCGGTTGAGGAAATGAATTTATGGATTAAAGCAATCTTCTCGACGATGGTACAAGCGATTTGATTCTATTATGTTAAAATAAGGATTTTCCGGAAGTAGTTACTAATTTGGGTATTTCTACCCCGCTAAGTGGCCCAATGAGAGCGCGACATTTTTCACTGAAAGAGGTGTCCAAATGGACTTCCCAGATGTTGACACGTGTTACGCAAATATGGCCTCTGGGAATGGCGGCATTCAAGGCCTAAATCCTAAGGGAGCCGCAAAACGGCACTACCCTAAATCCTAGGTCATCAAACCCTAGGACAAGGCACACCTTTTTAGGACCCTATAAATAGGGAGATTCCCAATCATTACAACATTTATTGCTCTTGAAAAAAGAGAACACCTAATCTCGGACTCCGAGAAGATATTTACTTTCCGATGTTTTACTCCAAATCCGTACTAACTTCATCTTCAGAGGCGAACCTCCAAACATCCAGAGCTCTGTTCTTTTGTAGGTACAGGCGGCTTCGTTGGACCTAGTTTTCGAGTTGTAACTCTCATAAGGGACACAAAAACACCCGAAACATTTGGCGCCGTCTGTGGGGATCGAACCCACGACGGCCAACCAAAAAGTTGGCCGCATTTTGATTGACACATGTAGCTCCTCCGACATCTTCATCTACAAATGCCTTCCAACCTCAAGTATAAGCTTTATAGCATGCTTGATGTCTCCCATCCTCTTGTTAGATTTGGGGGAGGAGTAGTGCACCCAGTCGGACGAATAGATCTCCCCGTTTGGGTGAGAGAAAAGGGCAGCGGACGGCACATGACCATCCGGTTTTTGGTGGTCGAAGAGCTAACCGCCTACAATCTCATTCTCGGCCAATCCACTCTAAACGAGTGCAAGACCATCATCATCCCTTCTCTCATGCTGGTCAAGTATGAGAGGGATGATGGCTTTGTTTGCTCCCTGAACGAAGATCAGAAGACGGCTAGAGAGTGCTATCTCTCGAACGTCAAACCTACAGCTGCAGAAGCCGGACAGGGGAAGGAGCTAATAGGCCTTGATGATATCAAAGAGACCGACCCCACCATTCTCAAAGAAAAGGAAGATTGATTAGCTGGTGGTGGTAAAAAAATAAAAGCATTAGCAATCATTGACCGGGGAACAGTTAGACGACGTCCGTCCCCAGTCGGCTGGTGAGCACATTGATATTCCGTTGGACGATAGTCGTCCAGAGCGAACTAGGGACGGTTTCCTTTGCAAAGATGGGTGTAGAATTGCACCATCTACTGAAAGAATTCAAAGATATTTTTTCCTTTTGAAGTGAAAGAGATGCCAGACATCAGCCCGGACCTTGCTGTCCATAAACT